TCTGGCGGCGCCCGACAATGACATGAAACATCCAAGTCTGTAGAAAAAACCCTGTTTCACAACGTTGCCCCTAGTTTCTACGACTTGCTCCGAAAAGCGACTTAGCACATGTCTGAAACTTGGAAGCAAGAGCCCGCAAATACCCGAATCCCTGCTGCCTGCCCCAAATCCTAAACCCTGAACCCAGGAGCCCTCGGTCCTGCATGCCCACCGCCTGCAGGCGGTTGATCCGCAAAAAAAACCAAATGCAAGCATAAAGCCAACTCCGGCCTGTCCCCCTTCCCCCCTCTCCCATCACATCAGATTCCCTGTCGCAGTATCCCAGCACACGCGCTCCTCCACTGCAACTTCGTCCCAGAGAGTACTCCAAGACCAGGCTCGGGAACAAGCCTCACCATGACCGCACTTCCGGCCACCTCACGGGCCGGAAACCGGAGGTTTGCCGCCAGACGACACTATCACTGGGTGACCCTGCCTTCCTGACTACGGCAGACACACCGGAGGGAGGGGCTGGGGAGGAAGGGGATGGGGAGGAGGGGGTTGAAAAGCCAACCCCGAAACCCTCGAAGTCCTCAAAATCCCAGAAAACGTCACAATCGTGGGAAGCTCAAAAACTCTGGCCCGTACTGTGACGCTTTCTGTATATATATACACACCTATACATATACATAAATTGAAAAGGGATATCTAGAAATAACTATATATATATATAAGAATAAAAAAGGAAAACACACACACATACATATTTACATACATACACATTTTTCAAATAGCAAGGGATGTCCTTGGACTGGTACTCCACGGCGAAGCGGAGATCGAAACTGAAAGCCAACTCGTTCGATAGCGACAGCGTCACGGGGCAGTAGTGCTTCCTCAGAGGTGTGGTTTAGGGTTTAGGGTTTGTGGTTTGGGGTTTAGGGTTTGGGGTTTAGGGTTTAGGGTTTAGGGCTTGGGATGAGAGGCTTAGGGTTTAAGGCTTGAAGTCCTAGGCTTGGGGTTTACGGTCGGACCTTTAGAAAACCAAATGGGCTTGGTCGCACCCAAAGAGTTAAAAAGGGTCACTCAGCACCCGAAGGTGAAGAGTTGGGGTTTAGGGTTTAGGGTTTAGGGTTTAGGGTTTGGGGTTTAGGGTTTAGGGTTTAGGGTTTAGGGTTTAGGGTTTAGGGTTTAGGGTTCCCTGGCCCACGGCAGCTTTCACAAGCATGAGAGTCAAGACGAGATTGCAGAAAAAAACACCCTGGCCTTAGAATCGCAGTTGAGGCACCACTTTCTTGTTAACAAAGGGGTCCGGAATACTGCGACAAGGTATAGGTAATAACCACAAGTAGCCCACAAAAAGTGCCAAGCGTTGCCGAAGCAGAATGATTAAGTAGCCCAGAATCGCAGGCCCTCAGCCACCACCCCTACTTTCAGGCTGAGAGGAACAGTCAGCGCTTGAAACCTCAAAGCGCTTCTGATTCCCAGTTTCAGGCCTTGGAGCTTCATAGAGTCATAATGAAGAGAAGAACATCCAGTTCGTTGTTCCCCCCAATTCAAGCGCAATGGCGCCAAACCCCGGGTTCGCATCCGGGCCACCGGGTGATGGAGGGGGGGGGGGGGGAAGGGGGAGGAGGGGGAGGCGGGCGTAACCCGACTGGTAGGGTTTACGTAGCCAAGGCTCCAGTTCGAAGCGCTCTTCTGCAAGCGGGTGGATGTGAAGCACATGCCCCAGATGCGCGTGGCTCGGCCTCAGTGTGGCCGGGCGGGCAACAAGGAATGGTGGCCTCTATAGGGTGGAGATCTGGCGTGTAGGGCTTAGGTAAACCACACAAAAATATGTGAAATCATGGCTCTTTCTAAACCCTAAACCCTAAACCCTAAAACCTAAACCCTAAACCCTAAACCCTAAACCTAAACCCTAAACCCTAAACCCTAAACCCTAAACCCTAAACCCTAAACCCTAAACCCTAAACCCTAACCCTAAACCCTAAACCCTAAAACCCTAAAACCCTAAACTATGTTTTTACATGCTTTGGGGGTCCAAGTAGGGTTGAAGGAGAGTCTCAGACCCCAGAGGCCCTAATCCCTAAACGCCCTAAGTTACTCTAGGAGGGGTTTAGAGTTTAGGGTTTAGGGTTTAGGGTCTAGGATTTAGGGTTTAGGGTTTAGGGTTTAGGGTTTAGGGTTTAGGGTTTAGAGTATAGGGTTCAGGGTTGAGAGCCCTCAAGCAAGCCCTCAACCCTAAGCCAAGAACGCTGAAGCCCAAAAAGCCACCTGAACTTCCGTAGATCCCTTCAAGGTCTAAGTAGGGGGATGGAAAGCCTAGCGACCTGCCAAGAACTACCCCTAAACTGAACCCTGAACCCTGAACCCTGAACCCTGAACCCTGAACCCTGAACCCTGAACCCTAAACCCTAAACCCTAAACCCTAAACCCTAAACCCTAAACCCTAAACCCTAAACCCTATAAACCCTAAATCCTACACCCTGAACATGGGTCTTCAGTCCCCGGCCCTGGGCCGTCTGTCGGTAGTAGGTCAAACGCTGTGACACGCTCTCCGTTGTCTCCTGGACAGGATTGCAGGGCTCAGGGTTTAGGGTTCATATAGGGTTTAGGGTTCAGGGTTCAGGGTTTAGGGTTTAGGGTTTAGGGTTCAGGGTTCAGGGTTCAGGGTTCAGGGTTCAGGGTTCAGGGTTTAGGGTTTGGGGGCTCGGCCTGGAGGGCATTTAGGCCGTCAAGCCCTGTGCCCCTGGAAGACTATGCATCCCCCTTGAGCTGTCATGGCCTAGGGGCTTAAACGGTGTAGGGTTTTGAGGGTTTAGGGTTTTGGGTTTAGGGTTTAGGGTTTTGAGGGTTGAGCCCCAAACCCGAAAACCCGAAACCCAAGCCGCCGTTTGTTTACGGTTTCGGGGTTTAGGGTGGATTTGGGGGTGGGTTTGGGGTTTAGAAGTCTTGCGGGGTACAGGGGTTCAGAGTTCGTGGTGAGGGGATTGAGGGCTTGGGGACCCATCCCCAAATCCCAAACCCTAAACCCTAAACCCTAGGGTTAAACCCTAAGCACAAAGAGTCCAGGTGGAGACGGTGGCGTAATTCCAAACATCGATGTCACAAGTTTGCAGTTGGCAAAATGCACTCTATGACGGTGATGATATTGGGATGTTCCCCCTTATACTAACAGCGCTTAATGGGGATTATAGTACCCCCCCCCGATTAGAATTCCTATCAAGGACTGTTAGTATAAGGGGGAACATGCCAAGCTATTTTTATACAAAGAATGCCAGCAAGCGAATCTAATGCGCAACATTCACGACTCGGATAAAGAATCTTGAAGTGGGGGCCAACTTCCAGGTGTGCCTTCAACCCTAGGCCCTAAGCCCGAACCCTGAAGACCTCCAACCCTACCCCTAGACTCTGAAAACTCCCTAAACATTAGCCCCCACCTGAACCTAAACCACCAACCCCTAAATCCCAAAAAACAAGACCCTAAAAAAACCTAATTACACCCAATTCCCAAACAGCCCTAACCCGAAAAAACCCAGACCCTCTAAACTTCCTGAAAACCCTAAACCCTAACCCCCACACACTGAACCAAAAACCCTAGACCCTAAACCGTAAACCCTAAACCCTGAACCCTAAACCCTAAACCCTGAACCCTAAACCCTAAACAGCCTAAACCCTAAACCCTAAACCCTAAACCCTAAACCTTCCCGCAAAAGGATGGCGACGGGTCGGCCTTGAGTGCTTGATCGAAGACCGCCCAGGCTGACCTCAGGGTGGGCTTCTGCTGTAAGGTTGCAAGTCAGGTCCTGTTTGGGTTTAGGGGGTTTTAGGGGTTTTAGGGGGTTTAGGGGGTTGAGGGGGTTGAGGGGGTTCAGGGGGTTCAGGGGGTTTAGGGGGTTTAGGGGGTTTAGGGGGTTTAGGGGGTTTAGGGGGTTTAGGGGGTTTAGGGGGTTTAGGGGGTTTAGGGGGTTTAGGGGGGGTTTAGGGGGTTTTTAGGGGGTTTTTAGTTTTAGGGGTTTTTAGGGGGTTTAGGGGGTTTTAGGGGGTTTAGGGGGTTTAGGGGGGGGGTTTTTAGGGGGTTTAGGGGGTTTAGGGGGTTTAGGGGGTTTAGGGGGAGGGGGTTTAGGGGGTTTAGGGGGGGGGTTTAGGGGGTTTAGGGGGTTTAGGGGGTTTAGGGGGTTAGGGTTTAGGGTTTAGGGTTGAATTAGTTTTAGGGTGTAGGGTGTGGGGTTGTGGGGTTGTGGGGTTGTGGGGTTGCGGGGTTGCGGGGTTGCGGGGTTGCGGGGTTGCGGGGTTGCGGGGTTGTGGGTTGTGGGGTTGTGGGGTTGTGGGGTTGTGGGGTTGTGGGTTTGTGGGGTTGTGGGGTTGTGGGGTTGTGGGTTTGTGGGGTTGTGGGGTTGTGGGGTTGTGGGGTTGTGGGGTTGCGGGGTTGCGGGGTTGTGGGGTTGTGGGGTTGTGGGGTTTCAGCTTTTGGGGTCTAGGGTTTGGTCTTCCGAACCCTTCGCTGAAGCGCGACAACCTCAAACCCCGAAGCCCCCAACACCTCGAGAAAGGCAGTCGTTGCTGCCTAGCTTGGGTACCAGTGATTGTGTTGAATATCCTAGATTTCAGCACAGTTCAATGTTGGGGCACTTGGGGGATTGAATGTATCTCTGCGGCGCAAACGCAAAACATGCAAGTACCCTAAGCTGACTATGTCCTGAACTCGCGAGCCTCAGCCCCAAACCCTGAACCCTAAACTTAGGGTTTAGGGTTTGGGGGTTCGGGACCCTACCCCTTAACCCTTATAGAAGCCTTTAAGCCAGGAACGACCCTGAGCCACTTGGAGGTTCATGGTACTTATTAACCAATTGCAACTGTGCTTATAACCGTAATTATAACCTAATTAGGGCACTCCAGGGGCTTGTAAGTGGGTTATAAGTACAGCTATATTTGGTTAATAAGTACCCCAATCCTAAACCCTAAACCCTAAACCCTAAACCCTAAACCTCCAAGCAGCCCTCTGAACTGCAAGGTCCAACTCACTCAGCCGCGCGCCGCGCACCGTCGATGTCCCGCAAGTTCTCAAAGGTCAAGGCGTAGAACACCTGGGTAGGATCGCAGGGCTTGGGGTTTCGGGTTTGGGTTTGGGGTTTAGGGTTAGGGTTTGGGGTTTGGGGTTTAGGGTTTAGGGTTTCGGGTTTAGGGTTTGGGGCTGGGGGCTTGCGGGGCAAAAGCTGGGGGTTTGTCGAGCCACGACTGGCCTATTTCCAGAAAAAAGTCGACCCCAAACCCCAAAACCCTAAACCCTAAACCCCTGAACCCCTAAACCCCTAAACCCCTAAACCCCTAAACCCCCAAACCCCTAAACCCCTAAACCCCCAAACCCCTAAACCCTAAACCCTAAACCCCAAACCCTAATTCAACGCTTGAAACCAGACCCCTGGAGTCCAGGATGGGCCCCGCACCCGCAGCGCCGAAGAGGAGTCCTGGAAGCTGCACATCCGCTCCTGGGGTTTAGGGTTTAGGGTTTAGGGTTCAGGGTTTAGGGTTTAGGGTTTAGGGTTTAGGGTTTAGGGTTTGGGGTTTGGGGTTTGGGGTTTGGGGTGTAGGGATTGAGGTCTAGGGTTTAGGGTGTTTAGAGTTTAGGGGTTTTTAGGGGGCGGTTAGGGGGTGTTTAGGGGGTGTTTAGGGGGTGTTTAGGGGGCGTTCAGGGGGTGTTTAGGGGGTGTTCAGGGGGGTTGAGGGGGTTTAGAGGGTTGAGCGGGTTTAAGGGGTCTAGGAGGTTCAGGGGGTTAAGCTTGGGGGGAGAATTGGTAGGGTTTTTGAAGAGTCTGTGGTGGGGATAGTACCCTAAACCCTAAATCCTAAACCCTAAACCCTGAACCCTAAGTGGGCTTACAGGCCCCCTCCCCCCCCCCCTCAAGGCAATAATGACTCTAGCTCTTTCTGCCTTGCTTCTAACACGAAGCTACCCACAAGCCTCCAAGTAGGAGGCATCTAAACTGTAAGTGGCAGCCGACGGAAAGTCGGATAATGGAAACTGTGGACCACAAGCCTAAGCCCTAAACCCTAAACCCTAAACCCTAAACCCTAAACCCTAAACCCTAAACCCTAAACCCTAAACCCTAAACCCTAAACCCACAAACAGGTACGTTCTATGGGCTCATGGCTGCAGCGAACCTCTTAGTTAGTCCGGACGGCTGTCCGTCGTGAGCACTCGCCTCAACCCTTTTGCGCCAGAAAACCTGAACAAAATAAAAACAAAAATAAAGTCAATCTGTGGACCAGGTCCTCTGATTTCGCTAAATCCGAAACCCCGGTTCAGACTCAGATCAAGCACTCACTGCCTGAATGGCCGACTTCACTATTTGACCTAGAATGCTACTCGCTCCGGTGTGTCCCTAAACAGAGAGACGACTTTGGGGTCTGGGGCGTATTGAACGTTGGGCTAAGGGATTTCAACAGGATTCAAAACCCAAGGCCCCGTAGAAGCAGCAGTCAAGACCCCAAACTACGCAAAAACCCTAAACCGTAAATCCCTAACTCCAAGCCCTAAACCCTGAAACCTAACCCTGCAACCTGGAGCCCTAAAACTCTACAGCCCTACAGCCCAAAGCTTTGAGGTCTCCAACTGAAGCTCAGAAATATTCCTCTTCACGCCAATCATGGGGACATGAACCTTGAACCCTACAACCCTAGGCTAAACCCTAGAACCACCTGGGACTCCATTTTATGATTATCTCGACAGATTTATGGGTCGCACCTCCCGCATAAGGGTTTCAGGGGTTTAGGTTTGGAGTTTCGGGTCAGGGTGGTTACCTACTCAACCCCTTATTCGGGAAATGAAAGCAACACCCAATCTAAACCGTACAACCCTGGACCTAAAGCCCTAAATCCTAAAACCCTAAAGCCCAAAAACCCTAAAGCCCGAAAACCCTCAAACCCTGCAACCCCCAACCCCCAACCCCCTACCCTAAACCCTAAACCCTAAACCCTAAACCCTAAACCCTAAACCCTAAACCCTAAACCCAAAAGCCCTCTAAAACCCTAAAAACCAGACCACTGACACGACCTACCTCGCCAAGGAAGCCCCGGCCTTCTGCAGGCCCAGCTCTTGCTGCACCAATGCGCCTAGGGTTTAGGGTTTAGGGTTTAGGGTTTAGGGTTTAGGGTTTAGGGTTTAGGGTTTAGGGTTTAGGGTTTAGGGTTTAGGGTTTAGGGTTTAGGGTGCCTCCGCGACAGCTCCGACTTCTGAGGCCGACATAGGCTTCGCCCCACTGCCGGGCCCACTACTAAAAGGCTCAAACCCCAAAACCCTGAGGATGCTACGCTCTTAACGGCGCCAAACTCCTACTTCTGAGGGAGGCACCAAGCCACTCCTACTTTTGAGGGCAGCACCAAAAATAGACAGAAAACGTCGTACTACGCTACCCTCCAAGCAGCTAGCAAGTCCGACACCCAATGATGCAGCCCCCAAAACCCTAAACCCGCACTCCCTAAAACTCTAAAACCCTCAAGCATTCCATCCCCTAAACCCTAAACCCCCTAAACCCCCTAAACCCTAAACCCTAAAACCCACCGGTGCCTGCGTCTTCCCCTGAGGTGGCATTGAGGGCCAGCGTTCGGGTGAAGATCGTCGCCTTCCCCGCGCCCGAGTTTTGTTCAGGGCTCAGGAATCATGGGGTTTAGGGTTTAGGGTTTAGGGTTTAGGGTTTAGGGTTTAGGGTTTAGGGTTTAGGGTTTAGGGTTTAGGGTTTAGGGTTTAGGGTTTAGGGTTTAGGAGCTCAGGGATTTGGGGTTTCCAACCATGAGGGATACCTTTTTGGGTCCCTATCATAAGGGAATCCTACTATTTGGGGGCCTTTTTTAGGGGGCCCTATGTTCGTAAACCCCCGTTTAGAGTGGGGGCATTCTCGGGTTTCAGGCCTTGAGGTTTGGCGCTTTAGAGCTTTAGCTGTTGACAATTTAGGGTTTTGGCGGGCTTCAAACTGTCTGGTTATCGGGCTTAGGAGTTAGAACATGGAGGCTCTGGTTAGTTGATTCGGGATTGGGTTTTGGGGTGTATAGGGCTTAGAACTGAGGGTGGGGAGGGTTTCGCATCTGTAGGGTTGTGTGTCGAAGGCTCAAGTCCAGGTACAGGTTTTCAGGGTTTGGGGTGTTTAGGGGCTACATGGGACAGGCTTGCCTGTCCTGGTCAGGGTTCTAGGGTGCAGGGGTTTAGGGTACCGGGACCCCGTGGTCTTCGCAGCTGCAACCCTAACCTTTAAACCCATGACCCTGAGACCCCAAGGCCTAATGAAGGCTTAAACCCTCAACCCTCATAAGCCCTAAACCAGTGCTGGTAGGCCCTAAACCCTAAACCCTAAACCCTAAACCCTAAACCCTAAACCCTAGACCCTAAACCCTAAACCCCAAAGGCAAGCCTTCTCTATGTCGACTACCGAGTTCCCTAGCAGAGAAGCCCAGTCGCAGCCTCAAAGCCAGAAAACGCTTACGGGTAGGCTTTGGGGGGCTGAAATATCCCTGTTCTCTGGGTTTTCGGGCCTTTCGGGGCAATTTCGGGTTGAAAGAGTTTATAGGGCTTCTAGGGATCTGCAGTTATAGGCTTTCTTGGGTTCATGGAGCTTATAGGGTTAAAGGGTCCAATTTGGGGTTTTTTCACGCTAAAAAACCCTAAAAGGGCTCAATCTCCTCATGGCGCCTCAGTTGCGCCCAGCAGGAGGACCCGATGTGGGACGATCCCAGCATGGGTCAGGGCTTCCGCCTCCGGCATGTTGAGAAGGGCTGAGGGCTCAGGGGTCTTCATGGGTTTCCCTACTGCAACCCTGTATACACCCCCCTTAATTCGGCTTAATTACCCCGAAATGGCCTTTAATTATAGGGGCCGAAGGGGGGTAGTATAGAGGGGGGTAGTAGGGGAACCCATGAGGTTTAGGGTTTAAAGCCCACGCAAACTGAAAACATCAAAGACACTCTCGAGCCTGCACACCTAGGGTTTAGGGTTTAGGGTTTAGGGTTTAGGGTGTAGGGTTTAGGGTTTAGGGTTTTTGGTATCACTCCCCATCCCAAACGCCCTCTAGCCAGCACCAAAGAACTTACAAGTTCGCCACAGGGAATTCGGGAATTAGGCACTTTCAATGTAGCGAGACCGTGAGGGCTTCGGATTCTCCAAGGTTCGGTCTTTTAGGGTTTGGGATTCAGGGTCTACCGCTTTCGGGAGTTAGGGCTTGCGGTAGGGGTCGAAGGTCCATCCCACGGCCGCTTGGATCTTGCTGAACGCTGGACGTGACGTGGCTCTGTCCTTAGGGGCCTGAACCCTAAACCCTAAATCCTAAACCCCAAACCCTAAGCCCTAAACCATCTGCTCGGAGTCTGCCAGCGGGTTTAGGGTTTAGGGCTTACCTCCCATAGCCCTTGAGCCAAAACACTCAGCGAGCTAGGCGCGATCCCTCTGACGATATGATCTTCGGAGTTAAGTAGTTAACAGAGGGTACCTGGGACTCACTTTACCTACAGTTTACAAGTAACTACCCCTGAATTCGGAGGTATAACCCATAAATCTGTCACTGTAGGCAAAGAGAATCCCAGGTATGCCTTGAGCCTTTCTGCAGGGCGCGCCCCAAAACCGCAGCGCCCTAAACCCAAACCCTGCAATGCTCCCAGCCAAGCCCGGCACCTGCGCAGCGGTGCATGGGAAGTCGTCCAAGATCCAACCTCGTTGCCCTAAACCTAAACCCTAAACCCTAAACCCTGAACCCTAAACCCTCAACCCTGAACCCTAAACCCTGCAGCCTAAAAAGTCCCCAACTCCTAACCCTTCGGTACCTGCACTCGGTGGGTCTTCTGGTGCAAGCATGGAGGCCCCCCAGGGTTAGAGCGCTGTCTTAAGGGGAATGTCAAGGAAGTAGATAGATATATCATTCTATCTACGTATTTACATTTAGATGTTGCATATATAAATATATACGTACATACATATACACACATATCTATATATATATATATATGTACCTACGAGGTTACTGCCATTAGTACCGGAACTACCTAGCATGCAGGGTCGAGGTGTTAGGCAGTTACAAGTCGGATGCAAGGTTGCAAGCTGTGGGGTTTACGATTGAGGGTATAGGGTTTAGGGCTGAGGGTGCAGAATTTTATGGTTCATGGAGATTAGGGTTGAGGTTTCGGGTTTAGGGTTCAGGGTTTAGGGTTTAGGGTTTGGGGTTTAGGGTTTAGGGCTGAGGGTGAAGATTATTTGGATGTAGATTCTAGCGCACCGGGGAGTTCAGGAGGCCATACCCCCCAAACCAAAAACCCTGCAAGCCTCAATCCCTAAAACCTGAGACCCTAAACCCTTAAAACCTTAAACCCTTGAACCCTTGAACCCTAAAACCCTAAAACCCTAAACCCTAAAACCCTAAACCCTAAACCCTAAACCCTAAACCCTAAACCCTAAACCCTAAACCCTAAACCCTAAACCCTAAACCCAGACCCTGAGGCCTTCAACTTGAAACCCCTCAAGCCCTCAGTCAAGCCCCTGGCCCGAGCGCAGGCAGTCGGCAGAAATCAGCCGCTGCTGTAGCGCAGCGATGACCTGGAGGTTTAGGGTTTAGGGTTTAGGGTTTAGGGTTTAGGGTTTAGGGTTTAGGGTTTAGGGTGTTTGGGAGTTTCCGAGCACGGGGTTTCGTTTCCGGAGTCCAAGGTTTCTGGGTAGACAAGAAGGAGTATTAGAACATGTTTTGGGGGCGGGGGGTGGTATATGAGACCGGCCCCTTTTTCGGGAAAGATGTCGAAACCAAACTCTCATAACCCCCCCCCCCCGAGCCCTCAACTCAAACCCTACATCGCGAACCCTTTTCGCCTCTGGCATTCAGGGTTAGTCGCGTTTTGTACCCCAAACCATGTCTAGGGCTCACAGGCTTGGATGACCCTAAACCCTGCACCCTAAACCCTAAACCCTAAACCCTAAGCCCTAAACCCTAAACCCTAAACCCTAAACCCTAAACCCTGAACCCTAAACCCTGAACCCTAAACCCTGAACCCTGAACCCTGAACCCTGAACCCTGAACCGAACCCTTATGAAACCTCAACCCAGCTAAGGCGGCAAGAAACTTGACACCAACGGAGGTTGAAACATGAGCTTCTCGACCAACTTCGCTCCGCCCAGTCCTTCCCAGCCCTTCGTTGAAGCCCTCAAGCCCTGAATCCGCCCCCTCTGCCCTAACCCTAAACCCTAAACCCCAAACCCCAAACCCTAAACCCTACAGAGCCAAAAATCGGCCAAGGCACCAAGTCGATCGGCACCTCTTTACCACTCCGCAGGGCCTTGGCAACGTCCTGCAGGCTCAGCAGGGTTTAGGGTTTTCAGGGTTTATAGGGTTTATAGGGTTTCTAGGGTTTATAGGGTTTATAGGGTTTAAGCGCTCAGGGAATCTCTGGTGTCGAGCGTTTGTGAGCGTTTGTGAGGAGGCCCCCTAAAAGCCCCTAACAGCCCCTAAAAGCCCCGAAAAGCCCCTAAAAGCCCCTAAAAGCCCCCTACAAGCCCCAAAAAACCCGAAAGCTCCCAGACCCCTCAAGCCCGCAAAGCCCCTAAACCTGGCTCCGGGCGCCTGAGACCTTACAAACCTTGAGGGTTTCGGCCCTGTAAGCCCCAAAAGCCCTAGAAGCCCTATGAACCCACGAGGCCTCTAAACCCTGTAAATCCTACTCTGAGCCCTAAACCCTAAACCCTGAACCCTATACCCTAAACCCCAAACCCTAAACCCTAAAACGTAAACCCTACTCCTTGGAGAGTTTGCAGGGCAGCGCCCCGGGCGCGATCAGGTCGCCAAGGACCGAGGCGACCGAAATGTACACGGCCCCGGTCCTCTGTCAAGGGCTTTGGGGGTTTAAGGCGTTTAGGGTTTAGGGTTTGGGGTTTAGGGTTTAGGGCTTAGGGCTTAGGGCTTAGGGCTTAGGGTTTAGGGTTTAGGGTTTAGGGTTTAGGGTTTAGGGTTCAGGGTTTAGGGTTTAGGGTTTAGGGTTTAGGGACGTGTGAGCGTGTGTAATATGTGTATGTATATATGCGTAGCGGACCTCGAGCTTTCCGCAGCTCATGTGTGTCCAGATTTCTCCCCTTTGTTTAGGGTATAGGGTACAGGGTATAGGGTTTAGGGTGGAGGGTTTAGGGTTTAGGGCTTAGGATTTAGGGTTTAGGGTTTAGGGTTTGGGGTTTAGGGTTTAGGGTTTAGGGTTTGGGGTTTCGGGTTTAGGGTTTAGGTTTGTAGAGTCTAGGCTCTCCAGCAACATACACTCAGAGAGGGCCCCTGTGTTGACCTTTGTTGCACGGCCGGCGTCCGAGCTAGACCCTAACCTCTAACAGCAAGTACGTAAGTACATAAAGTAAAGTAAAGCAAAGGAAAGTCAAGTAAAGTAAGCAAGTATAAGAAGAACAAAAAGAAGAAGCAGATAGCTGAGAGAGGGAGAGAGAGAACGATAGCAGCAGCAAGAGGCTACAAGGACCTTAGCGTCTTAGGGTTTTAGGGATTTAGGGTCTGAAGGTTCGGGGCTTGAGCAGGTTTGGGGGCGAAGAAACTCTGCCGAATGCAAGCCGGACGTACAGCGTGACCTTGAAGTTGGGCAATGTAGGAGGATCAGCAGGAACCAACATCATCCTCTCATAATGCGCAATGTTCTTTGAATGTGGTATGCTGGTATACCCGACAACGCACATGTTCATTAAACAGGCACTATGTTCGTCCACAGCTGTGAGCACTCTGAAGCGCCGGTTGCCCAACTCCACCGCAAACGCCGAACCACTTAAAACCCTAACCCTGTACCCTCGACCCTAAACCCTAAAACCCTAAAACCCTCAACCCTCGAGCCTAAACCCTAACTCAACCCTTAAACAACCTTACAATCCCTGCAGCCTTCCGACAACCTAAGGCCCCCAAAACACCCCAAACCCTACACCCTAAACCCTACACCCTACACCCTAAATAAACCTTCAAATAATCTTAAGACCCCTTTCGACACCCAAAGCCCCCCCCCCCCCCCCCCCCCCCCAAAAAAACAAGAAAACCCGAACCCCCGCAGCCTCTTACTCAACGCCCGGGCCAGGGTCGTCTTGCCCGCCAACCTCAGGCCGTGGAGTAAAGCTCGAGAGCCCTGGGTTTGGGGGCAAAATGCGATGATGACACAGGGCGCGAGCAGGAAGCCCCTCATAGTTGGACAGAAACTGGACTTTGAGTCTTTGAGCCACAGCTTGCGCGATTCAGACCCCCTAATCCCTAATCCCTACTCCCTAAACCCTGAACTCTACACCCTTAACCCTAACCCTAAACCCTAAACCCTAAACCCTAAACCCTAAACCCTAAACCCTAACCCTAAACCCTAAACCCTAAACCCTAAACCCTAAACCCTAAACCCTAAACCCTAAACCCCATTCCGAAAAGAGACACTTTAAGGTGGAGCAGGCGGCCGCAAGCCTTTCTGAGTTGGCGAAGCCACAGGTCTGCAACCCCTTTAACCCTCAAACCCTTAAACCCTCAAACCCTCAAACCCTTACCCCCTTAAACCCTTAACCTCTTAAACCCTTAAACCCTTAAACCCTTAAACCCTTAAACCCTTAAACCCTTAGACCCTTAAACCCTTAAACCCTTAAACCCTAAACCCTAAACCCCCTCTTTGAGTGCTTAGGAGGATTTGGAGCTGTCCGAAATCAGGGGGGGGGGGGGGGGTACCTTTTTGGGGTCCTGATTATAAGGGAATCCTACTTTGTATATCAGGGGTGCCTTCTCTCGTAAACCCCCATATTCCCCTAAACCCTAAGCCCTAAACCCTAAACCGTAAACCCTAAACCCCAAACCGTAAACCCTAAACCCTAAACCCTAACCCCACAAAGCCTGAGCCCTGAGCCCTGAGCCCTGAGCCCTGAGCCCTGAGCCCTGAGCCCTGAGCCCTGAGCCCTGAGCCCTGAGCCCTGAGCCCTGAGCCCTGAGCCCTGCACGGGGACACTGCTAAGCTAAAAAAAGCCGAAGACCTCGAAACCCTAAACCCTAGCCCCAAAAAGCCCTGATACCCAAAACCCCCAAAGACCCTAAACCCGACCCTAAGCCCCTAACCCTAAACCCTAAACCCCAACCCCCAAACCCTAAACCCTAAACCCTAAACCCTAAACCCTAAACCCTAAACCCTAAACCCTAAGCCCTAAGCCCTAAGCCCTAAGCCCTAAACCCCTTTGTTATAAGTTCCTGGCGGAGCCCCCAGCACGGCAATAGCCGGGGCAGCACCGATGCGGCTGGGGCCTCTTCGTCGCAAAAAAAGGGTTTAGGGTTCTTCTTCAGGGCGGGTTTAGGGTTTAGGGTTTAGGGTTTAGGGTTTAGGGTTTAGGGTTTAGGGTTTAGGGTTTAGGGTTTAGGGTTTAGGGTTTAGGGTTTAGGGTTTAGGGTTTAGGGTTTAGGGTTTAGGGTTTAGGGTTCAGGGTTTAGGGTTTCGGGTTCAGGGTTTAGGGCTAGGGTTTCGGGTTTGGGGTTTAGAGATTTCGGGGTCGGGCAATACCCTACCAAGAAAAAACAGGCTGGCCTGGTTTTGCCTAATGGCACTTATAAGGCCTGGGAGAGCCCAAACAAGTTTAGGGTTTAGGGTTTAGGGTTTAGGGTTTAGGGTTTAGGGTTTAGGGTTTAGGGTTTAGGGTTTAGGGTTTAAGGTTTAGGGAAGATAAGAGGACCCAGTGAGCCCAGCACCCCCTACATGAGGAGGAAACCCTCATTCGGATCCCTACTCTCCTTTAAGGTGCAGTCCTTCAGCCCCGAAAGCCCCTATGGTTTTTGTTCGAACAAGGGTTTAGGGTTTAGGGTTTAGGGTTTAGGGTTTAGGGTTTAGGGTTTAAGGTTTAGGGCCGAGGGTTTAGGGTTGAACCCTAAACCCTAAACCCCAGACCCCAAACCCTACACACTCCCTGGGCTTGAGGGTTTGAGCCGGCTTTGAGAAGTTTCGGGCGCTGGCTTGGCCCTCGAAATCCCCTATATGGGTTTAGAGGGTTTAGGGTTTAGGGTTTAGGGTTTAGGGTTTAGGGGTTTAGGGGTTTAGGGTCTAGTTCTGTGAAACTAGGGCCCTCTGCTGGGGTCCTTACTTTGACGCGTGCCGTACTATAGAGGTGACCCAAAAAGGGAGCCTAATTTAGAGAGCTACCCATCTTCGTGGAAGCCCAACAAGCCTTAACGGGCCGAAATCAAAAACCCCAATTCGCCCTCCTTCTTTTCGTTTCCGGCTGCGGATCAAGCAAGCTCCTGTTGAGGAGCACGAAACGTAAAAACAAGCGTTCGGGCTTAGGGCTAGCGATTGTAATTATATTGGAGTTTCGGGTTTGAGACTAAGGGTTTAACCCTAAACCCTAAACCCTAAACCCTAAACCCTAAACCCTAAACCCTGAACCTCTAGGGTTTGGAGCTTCGGGCTTGGGGGTTGGACTTGCAGCTGAGAGCTTAGGATTCTGCCGCTCGGTCGACACCCGAAGGGTTCGCCGTCACGGCCGAGAAGCAATGCTTGGTTTAGGGTTTAGGGTTGAGGGTTTAGGGTTAAGGGTTAAGGGTTAAGGGTTTAGGGTTTAGGGTTTAGGGTTTAGGGTTTAGAGTTTAGGGTTTAAAGTTTAGGGTTTAGGGTTTAGGGCTTGGCCTTGCTGTTGTTGCCCAAAACTTGGGATGTTCCCCCTTGTACTAGCAGTCCTGAATAGGGATTCTAGTAAGGGGTTTTTCTTGAATTCCGATTAAGGACTGTTCGTATAAGGGGGAACATAAACCCTGAACCCTGCTAGCCCTGCAGCGTGTGCATCGTAGAGCCTTAGAGAGATGCTTCTAAGAGTAGGGTCTTCGAGCTCAGATTTTGTACGGCTTAGGGACGTCTTGGGTAGCTTCGCGCTTGGGGCTGAGGGTTTAGGGTTTAGGGTTTAGGGTTTAGGTTTAGGTTTTAGGGTTTAGGGTTTAGTCGTGAGGGTTTAGGGTTTAGGATTTAGGGTTTAGGGTTTAGGGTTTAGGGTTTAGGGTTTAGGGTTTAGGGTTTAGGGTTTAGGGTTTAGGGTTTAGGGTTTAGGGTTTAGGGTTTAGGGTTTAGGGTTTAGGGTTTAGGGTTTAGCTCCTCTGCATCACTGAGCCCCCTCTACCTGCGCTACTTTGCATGCCACGATGGCACTGTCGTAGGCAACGGAGTCGCACTGCAGACCTGGTACCAGAGTGAGAACTTTACGCAAAATTAGAGCTTTTGGCTGTTTCTTGGGAATTATAGTACCTAAAACCCAAACCATTAAGAACATATTCCCAAGCATCCCTAAGTTAAGGGGTTCTAGGGTTGGGGGGGGGGGCGGGGGGGGGGGGGGGGGGGTTCCAGGGAAGCCTAAACCCTAAACCCTAAACCTAAACCCCAAATATTGTAGGGCTGAGGGCTTAGGACTTCAAACCGACACCGCCCTTCACCCAAGCTTTTTGGTTGGGTTGTGGAGTTTTCTGGCAACTTCCTGGAAGTTCGAGTTGGAGGTCTTAAAGAGAGTGTCGGGTTTAGGGTTTAGGGTTTAGGGTTTAGGGTTTAGGGTTTAGGGTTTAGGTTTTAGGGTTTAGGGTTTAGGTTTTAGGGTTTAGGGTTTAGGGTTTAGGGTTTAGGGTTTAGGGTTTAGGGTTTAGGGTTTAGGGTTTAGGGTTTAGGGTTTAGGGTTTAGGGTTTAGGGTTTAGGGTTTAGGGTTTAGGGTTCAATACCTCAAAAGAGGAACTACAATTGGAGGTCTAGGTCGGGTAGTGCTAATCAACACCAACAATCATAACTCACGAACTGCCGCCTACACCTTGAACCCTAAGAAGGGCTTGACCCAAAACTCCAAACCCCAAGCCTCAAAAGCTAAATCCTAGACCCTCAGGCCCAAAACCGCCTGAACCGCCGCGCAAACCCTGAACCCCCCAACTGCCCTGAACCCTGAACCCTAAACCCCAAACCCTAAACCCTAATCCCCATAAGTCCACATGCTTGCCAGGCACTGGCTGCCAGTGCGGTGCAGAGCACGTCCAAGGCTTGGCGCCACCGAGCGGCGCGTTCGCAGGCGTTGATGGCGGCGCCTTACTTGTTGATGTCTGTTTGGCGGGGAGGGTTCAGGGTTTAGGGTTTAGGGGTTAGGGTTTAGGGTTTAGGGTTTGGGGTTTGGGGTTTGGGGTTTAGGGTTTCGCGTTTAGGGTTTTGGGTTAGGGTTCAGTAGTTGGGTTCAGGGTTCAGGGTTCAGGGTTCAGGGTTCAGGGTTCAGGGTTCAGGGTTCAGGGTTCAGGGTTCAGGGTTCAGGGTTCAGGGTTCAGGGTTCAGGGTTTAGGGTTTAGGGTTTAGGGTTTAGGGTTTAGGGTTTAGGGTTTAGGGTTTAGGGTTTAGGGTTTAGGGTTTAGGGTTTAGGGCGTCTTCTGCTGCCAGAGCCGCTGCAGGTGACGAGGTCAAGGTGCGAGGAGTGCGCAGCGTCCGATGTCAAAGACCTGGCGGAGGCTTCTTCAAACGGTGACGAGGCCATCCGGAACACCAGGTATGCTACAGAGATTCCGATCTCAAACCGACAGCCTAAAACCCTAGGATCTTCTAACTCGCAGGCCTTTACCCTAAGCCTAAACACGCAGCTTGCAACGCCTCAGCCAGCCATCAAGAATCAAGAGCTGTAGACACCCCATCATGATTCGGTTGTACATATCGAGCCAGGTCCATGCAGACCCGCCTAGCACCCCCCAACTACCTTGTAACCATAACACTAGGGCATGTAAGCCCCCCTTTGTGAAAGGGAATTTGGGGGTGCAGGGAGACCCTCAGTCTTTGAGCCAAGACCCCAAACCCGATTTTCCTCCATTTGATAAAGAGCCAACTCAACACGCGCCCAACGCGACAGCGCCGTCTCCCAGGACCCAGAGGCCGCGAGGGCCTCAGACGGCTTCGGGTTCTTGGAGATCGGGTTCCTTGTAACAGTCCCGTCTTGTCTCCTGAAACCCTACTCAGGGCCGCTTCCCGGATTCCCGGGACACCCCAAACCCCGAACAGCCTAAGAACCCCTAGCCTTAAACCCCAGCAATGCCCAAACCCCGAAGCGCTACCCTAAACCCTAACCCCCAAACCCCTAAACCCTAAACCCTCAACCCTAAACCCTAAACCCTCAACCCTAAACCCTAAACCCTAGCCCTAAACTCCGGCCGGCATGGCAAAATATGATATCGGCCGCCACGCAAACTGGTTGCTTAATCCGAACTCTTGCTTAAAACCGAATGCATCAAACGTTCGTCCTCTCGCAGAAAAGGGACACAACCCGCCCCCCGTGCATTCAACCCCAGGTTAGGGGGGACTCGCCGGCTCTCAGGGCAGCCCTACTACCCCCCCCCTCTATACTACTCCCCCTTAGGTTCAACCAGAATTAAGGCCTGACTAGGGCTATTCTAAGGGGAAACCTAGGCGGGGTGAGGGGGGTAGCATGGGCAACCCATGACTCCTTGAATCCCACAGTGAACTCTCAGCCACCAACCCCATCTGAGCCATCATCCTCCTCCCTAAACCCTGAGCCCATATGCCCCCTACATGAACCGCAAAGCCTTTCGTGCAAGGGTTCACGTGGTCCCCCTGGATTCCCAGTCTAGCCGCCGCAGTGTAAGTGATCGCATCGTACTCCAGCCGGCTGGCCTGCCAACAAAACAGGAAGAAAACAGGAGGTCCCCGAAGCGAGAAACATGGGTCAGGGTGCAGGGTTTCGGGTGGAAACCGACGGGTTTCTGAGAAGACAATGAGGGAATTACGCACCCCCTGTCATCTTAACCCCAAACTCTAAACTCTAAAACCTATAGTGTACCCAATTCTAAGAACCAGTAAGGCTAAGTGGCCTTTCAGTTTTCCAGAACCTGAACCCTGAACCCTAAACCCCAATTGCTAAAGCCTTTTCTTGTTCTCCTGGGCCAGTGTGCAGGACCGATGCCCTATAGATAGATAGATAGATACACACACACACATAACCCCTAAACTCGAACGGCCAGGCGTTGGCGCTTATCGCGTTTAGGGTCAGGTAAGTCCTACTTTGGGAGGGGGGGGGGGTCGTATTACTTGAGGTTTGCTCCAATCCCTACGACCCTTCCGACTTAATCAGGATTTCACTATTTCGGTGTGTACGTTCGGGGGTGGACATCTATTCTGGGAAACCCTCCAAAGCCTAACCCTAAACCCCTCCACAGCCTTGAACTTCTCGAAGAGCTGCCAAGCTTTGCCGCGCTCGCCACCTGACCACGCTGGAAAGGCAAGGTTTAGGGTTAGCAGTTTCGGGTTTCGGGTTTGGGGTTTAGGGCTTAGGGTTTGGGGTTTGCGGTGTAGGGTTTAGGGTTTAGGGTTTAGGGTTTGGGGTTTGTGGTTTGCTGTTTGGGCTTGAGTGGTTAGGGTGTAGTAGTTCGCACCTCGTGATTTACTTGAGGGTTTAGGCTGAGGGCTAGGGCCTAGTAGGGCTTAGCAGGCTCCAGCAGGCAGGGCTTATAGCATGTATAGGGTAGGGTATAGTAGGTTTAGCAACGGGAAGCTCCAGTTCAACCTCTACTTGCAAGTAAGGTCGATTAGGGGTTGGGGTTTGCAGGCCCGTTGTTTGAACAAAAATGGGTTAGTGGCCCGCCCAGCGCATTTTTTAAGTAGCGCTTGGGCCTCTGGGCTTTCGGGCTTTAGGGTTTAGGGTCTAGGCTTTAGGGGTTTGCCAGGGCTTCGGCTTGTCATGCAAGCAGATGCAAGCAGACCTAACATTCAGGACCACCCCTACAGCCCTAAACCCTACACCCTGGACCCTAAACCCTGAACCCGAAGCCCGAAATTCAGCGGTATGTAGCTTTGGGGTCCCCCTGCTGGACCTAGTTAGGACCTGCTTGCTCCACACCAGGGTCCCGTAAACGGTAACTTCTTTCACCCTCAGCCCTAAAGGTAACAGGACACCCAGCAGCTTTAGTTAAGAAAGCAGGATCATCGCAGGCCGCAGGATCTGCACGATTTTCGAAGTCCGAGCTATTGGTGGGGAGTCGTGATCAGTGATGAGGTGTTTCAGACTTCCTGAAACCTGAAACGCTAAATCCTAGACCCTTCTGGGTAAGAGAGTTGACCAGTTGGGGGCGTAGTCGTCTGGGATCCAAGTTCTGACCTTCAGCGCAAGCAATGATGGCCGCGTTGTAGGTGATGGTGTTGCCTCGGTTTAGGGTTTGGGATTTGGGGTTTGGGGTTTAGGGTTTAGGGTTTAGGGTTGAGGGTTTCTTGAAGGTTCATGGGTAGTGGCAGGCAGGGTTACTTCAAGCGCGGCCAGAGCAGGGTCTATGCAGCTATCACTATGGGTACCCCTGCTTACGACAATAGTCCTGGCTTACCCTGCAACCTGCCACTACTCTTCTTAGAGCCCCGGATCCCCCCGAAACCCTAAACTCCAAGCCCCTATGGACCCCAATCGCCCTAAGACCTAAGCCCTAAACTCTAAACCCTAAACCCTAAACCCTAAACCCTAAACCCTAAACCCTAAACCCTAAAGTTAAAGGGTTTAGGGTCTAGGGCCAACCCCCGCACCCAGAGGGCCCGTGAAAACCCAGACATCTTCCGGAAGCCCTAAACCCTAAACCCTAAACCCTAAATCCTAAACCCTAAACCCTAAACTCTAAAGCCAAGGCACATTCGCAGAGTGAGGCCTCCAGCTGCTTCAGCAGCTCTAGAACAATCCGCCAGGGGGCCGCCTTGCCTGAGGGGTTTAGGTTTAGGGTTTAGGGTTTAGGGTTTAGGGTTGAGGGTTGAGGGTTGAGGGTTGAGGGTTGAGGGTTTAGGGTTTAGGGTTTAGGGTCCCGGGTTTCGGGCTTAGGGTTTAGGGTTCGGGGGTTAGGGCCTAAAAAGGATATAGGGTTTAGGGCGTAAGGTGCCTTATTGGGGTGGTGGGTCTAGGGTAAAGGGTATACTGCACAGCAGAGTCGACGGAACATCCTGAGCCTCCCGAAATTCTACACCCGATATTTTTGCACCCTAAACCCTAAACCCTCAACCCTCTAAGAAAGCCTAAACCCCCATAAGCCCTATCAACCCAAGCCCCAATGCCCCTGCGCCTCAACCTGAAAATCCGAACATCCCTCATCCCCTCCACCTAATATTCATCCCCCCCCCCCCCCCCCCCCCCCCCCTAATATGAAACATTTCCCCTATACTATAATATAACCATAAGGGGGAGTATTCAATAAGGGGTGGGGGGGGTTCATAATCCAGGGAAGGGACAAAGTAAAGCCCAAACCCCCAAAACTCTCTGTGAGAATAAGCTACAGTTTTTTGGGGGTTTAGGGTTTGGGGTTTTTTAACTAGAGTCACAGGTACGCCAAAGAGTTTACACTCATGGGCTGGGCTTTTTTGAAATTTCGAGCCTTTGCAAGGGGGTTGTAGCAGTTAGGGTGTTGGGCTCCTGGTCTTCTTCCTCCAAAGTTAAGGTTTAGGGTTTAGGGTTCAGGGTTTAGGGTTCTTGGGAACGTTCGAGACCCAAACCCACGTCCCTGCGGTTTAGGGTTTGGGGTTTAGTGTTTAGGGGGTTGAACCCAAATTTTCAAACAGGCTCGTCTTCTAGCTCCTCCTCTGACGGAATCCCCCCACCCCAAACCCACAAACCCTGAACATCCCTAAGCCCCAAACCCTAAACCCCAAACCCAAAAGGGTTTAGGGTTTCGGGTTTAGCGTTTAGGGTTATCCCCAAACCCAAAACACCACGACCCCAAGCATCCCCCCCCCCCCCACCAGACACTAAGCCCTCAACCCTGAACCCTGAACCCTGAACCCTAAACCCTAAACCCTTAACCCTTAACCCTAAACCCTAAAATCTAAATCCGAGCACGTTTCGCCCAGATGCTTGCGGCCACTGCCGCCCCATAGGTGACGATGCTGCAGGGGAGGCGACGGTCCTGGAGACTTAAAGAGGGCCCTTTTGGGCTTCGGGGTTTCGAGGTTAGGGTTGGGTTTAGGGTTTGGGGTTTGGGGTTTGGGGTTTGGGGTTTGGGGTTTGGGGTTTAGGGTTTAGGGTCTAGGGTCTAGGGTCTAGGGTCTAGGGTTTAGGGTTTAGGGTTTAGGGTTTAGGGTTTAGGGTTTAGGGTTTAGGGTTTAGGGTTTAGGGTTTAGGGTTTAGGGTTTAGGGTTTAGGGTTTAGGGTTTAGGGTTTAGGGTTTAGGGTTTAGGGTTTAGTGTTTAGGTTTTAGGGTTTAGGGTTTAGGGTTTAGGGTTTAGGGTTTAGGGTTTAGGGTTTAGGGTTTAGGGTTTAGGGTTTAGGGTTTAGGGTTTAGGGTGCAAGCCCGCTCAAGAGAGGCTCCGACATCGCCCGAGTCGGCATGTCGTCCCACGCGGCAACGTCAGGGAGGCCACTGCTTTATCTTCAGCCGTCCTTCAGGGCTCAGACCTGCAAGCACAATGGGCAGCACCTGGGCCAGCACCGCCTCTGCGTTCTGCAAGACGGCAGCCTCGGCCAGGAATGTATCACCAGCGGACATGGCCAGAGTGCGGTCCTTGCTCTCCTCGAGGTTGGAGAACGCAGTGGCCTCGTACACTTCCAACTTGCCACTAGCAATGGCTTGCAAGTGCTCTGTCACGGCATGAGGTCCGAGGCTCAGCCAACGTGAAGTCCTGGTGGCACGTGACCCCGTGATTCTGTGATCCCCCCCTGAAGACTTCGAAAGTCGTGAGGGTTTAGGGTGTAGGGTTTAGGGTTTAGGGTTTAGGGTTTAGGGTTTAGGGTTTAGGGTCTAGGGTCTAGGGTCTAGGGTCTAGGGTCTAGGGTTTAGGGTTTAGGGTGTAGTTAGGGGTTAGGGTTTAGAGTTTAGGGTTTAGGGTTTAGGGTTTACGGTTTGGGGTTGTTCGGGGCTTGGGTTTTGGGTGAACCTTGCCTACAGTATCCTGCAGCCAACCCTTTAAAGCAGAGAAGTATACTTTCGCCTCGAACCCCTTACCAAAACCTGCCTCCATCAACCCTTCATACCCGGTAAGACAGGTTAAAAGGGCAAGTCTGCCCAATGATGTTACTTAGTTGCTGAGTTCATAAGCCCCAAAAAAGTGCACACTTTCAGTTCTATGGGGGATTACAGTATCCCCAAAAATTGTAAAGTGTGCTCACTCACTACTGAAGTTATGGTCTCCTTGTCTCGTTCCTTCACGGGGTATAGACAGACTACAGTCGGTGAACTCTACAGGGTCTTGGGCTGTGAGGTCGGAGCCTAGACTTAAACCCCTAAACCCCTAAACCCCTAAACCCCTAAACCCCTAAACCCCTAAACCCCTGAACACCTGAACACCTAAACCCCTAAACCCCAAAACCCCAAAACCCCAAAACCCCAAAACCCCAAAACCCCAAAACCCCAAAACCCCAAAACCCCAAAACCCCAAAACCCCAAAACCCCAAAACCCCTCAACCCCTCAACCCCTCAACCCCTCAACCCCTCAACCCCTCAACCCCCAAACCCCAAACCCCAAACCCCAAACCCTAAACCCTAAACCCACCCCCTAGGCTCAAGGGGCGCACCCTGAGCCCCCGAACACGCGGGCCTTGGCCTCGGCAAGGAGCCAGAGAGTCCACTGCCACTGGCCGGACTTTTCACAGGCCTCACGGTCTCCAGGGCCGCTACTCCCTAAACCCGAAGCCCCAAACCCTAAACCCTAAACCCGAAACCCTAAACCCTAAACCCAAACCTCTACCCCTTCTAAACCTTGACCCCATAATGGGCATACATATGTATATATGTATATATATATATAGATACATACATATGTATATATATATATATGCTCACCCCCCCCCAATGGACCCACCGCGGATGGCAGCCGAGTCCTAGCCAGATCAAGGCAAAAAACAACAAAACAAGAAACTAACAAAAACCAACAAACCAAAAAAATCCAAAAAACCAAAAAAAACAAAAAAACCAAAAAAACCATCTTTTCCAAAACTATGGGGCTGGGGCCCCCAAAAGATGGTTTTTTTGGTTTTCTCGAGAAAAAGATGGATTTTTTGGTTCGAAACCATCTTTTTCTCGAGAAAAAGATGGTTTTTGAGCAGCCGCTCTTCTAAAAACCATCTTTTTCTCGAGAAAAAGATGGTTTTACCAGGACAAGACCTCCAAAAACCATCTTTTTCTCGAGAAAAAGATGGTTTTACCAGGACAAGACCTCAAAAAACCATCTTTTTCTCGAGAAAAAGATGGTTTTTCCAGGACAAGATCTCCAAAAACCATCTTTTTCTCGAGAAAAAGATGGTTTTTCGAAGAGCGGCTGCTCAAAAACCATCTTTTTCTCGAGAAAAAGATGGTTTCGAACCAAAAAAACAATCTTTTTCTCGAGAAAACCAAAAAAACATCTCTTGAAGGCCCCAGCCCCATAGTTTTGGAAAAGATGGTTTTTTTTGGTTTTTTTTGTTTTTTTGGTTTTCTCGAGAAAAAGATGGTTTTTTGGTTCGAAACCATCTTTTTCTCGAGAAAAAGATTGTTTTGAGCAACCGTCCTTCGAAAAACCATCTTTTTCTCGAGAAAAAGATGGTTTTACCAGGAGAAGACCTCCAAAAACCATCTTTTTCTCGAGAAAAAGATGGTTTTACCAGGACAAGACCTCCGGAAACCATCTTTTTCTCGAGAAAAAGATGGTTTTTCCAGGGTAAGATCTCTAAAAACCATCTTTTTCTCGAGGAAAAGATGGTTTTTCGAAGAGCGGCTGCTCAAAAACCATCTTTTTCTCGAGAAAAAGATGGTTTCGAACCAAAAAAACCATCTTTTTCTCGAGAAAACCAAAAAAAACCATCTTTTGGAGGCCCCAGCCCCATAGTTTTGGAAAAGATGGTTTTTTTGGTTTTTTTTGGTTTTTTTGGTTTTTTTGGTTTTCTCGAGAAAAAGATGGTTAAGTTTTAGGGGTTTAAGCCTCATGCACTACAGGGTTATAAGGTTCTAATCCTATAGGTATTGCCTTAACCTTTAACCCTAAACCTTTAACTTTAAACCCTGCAGGGTTAACCCCGTGAGAAATTTAGAGATAGACCCCGAAAAGACCCTAAACCTTCTTACAGGGTGTAATGGTTTAAAAACCGATAGGACATGTATACCTTCAGCGCCTGTAGGGTTCAAGCCTTTGAACGTGCTAGACCCCTATAGGGTGCTAAGGTTCTGACCCTAAAGGGTTTAGGATTAAGGCTTAAATGCCCTGTAGGTTTAAATGCCTAAGTCTTAAACCCCAAACCTTTAAACCTTCATCCTATGGGGTTTGAAGGTCAAGGGTTTAGGCTTGATTGCCGAGGGCTTTAGGGTCCTGACCCTAGAGGGTTTAGGGTTAAGGAATAGATGCGTAAACCTTAAACCCTTAAGGTTTTAACTCTATGGGCTTAGGGGGCTTAGGTTTTTTTAAACCCTAAGCCTTTAAACCTTCACACTACAGAGTTTAGAGGTGTTAAGGGTGACAAATTGATTACATACTTAGCTTTAAATGCCTGAATCTGAAACCCCAAACCTTTAAACCTTAACCCTATAGGGTTTAAAGGTTAAGGGCTTGAATCGTCAGCTTGGATTTAAATGTCTAAGTAAAGAATCCTAAACCTTTAAATCTCATCCCTATGGGGTTTAAGGTTAAGGGTTCAATATGAACTGCCGGCATAGGTCTAAATACCTAAACCTTAAACTTAAACCCTAAACCTTTAAATATCTTAACCCTATAGGGTTTAAAGGTTAGAGGCTTAGCGTAAATTGCCGGAATAGGTTTAAATGCCTAAATCTTAAGCCCGAAACCTTTAAACCTTAGCCCAACAGGGTTTAAAGGTTAAGGGTTTAAAATTAGTTGCAGGCTTAATTAGGTTTAAATGCCTACATCTTATATCCTAAACCTTTAAAAATCTTAACCCTATAGGGTTTAAAGGTTAAGGGCTTGGCTACAGGTTTAAATGGCTAAATATTAAACCCTAAGCCTCTAAACTTTAACCCTACAGGGTTCAAAGGTTAAGGGTTTAAAATTAGTTGCAGGCTTAGGTTTAAATGCCTACATCTTAAACCCTAAACCTGTAAAAATCTCAACCCGATAGAATTTAAAGGTTAAGGGCTTAGCTTTAATTACCGGCATAGGTTCAAATGCCTAAATCTTAAACCCTTAACCTTTAAACCTTAACCCTACAGGGTTTAAAGGTTAAGGTTTTTTTTTTGCAGGCTTAGGTTTAAATGCCAACAGAAAGAAAAACCCTCCGTGCGTGTGTGAGAGGGTGAATTAAGGAATACAGTCAAAAATCCGGTCACCGGAAAATCACCAGACAGCATAGGTTTTATCGGTATTTGCGGTACTTTTGCAAAGATCAAGGCCCGCGGTGGGTCCATTGGGGGGGGGTGACCATATATATATATATATATAATGTGTGTGAGTGCTACCATATATGTCTTTCTAGGGCTACTGCTTGGGTTTCGGGCTTTTGGGGTTTGTGAAGGCACAGTGATCTATGAAGGAAGGCGCCAATGCGACTCCTGGGGGCCCAGGGCAAAGGCATCTTCACGCAAAACCCCGGCCTCCAAGCCTCAACACCATCAAAATTTGTGCTCGTCTATTAAGGTGGAGGCCTCACGCTTGTTTCCGGAGTTGAAATACATGGGTGTCGGTTTTTGTGATGTCAGGGTGTAAAGGTCCACTCCCTCAAGCCTTCAACAAGAACCGCCGGACCCGTCCCCTACATGCCACAGAACCCTAAACCCTAGCCCTAAACCCTAAACCCTCAACCCTTAACCCTTAACCCTAAACCGTAAACCCTAACCCTAAACCCTAACCCTAAACCCTAAACCCTAAACCCTACATGGGGCCTACATGCCACAGAATGGAAAATCTAAGAACCCCGAAAGCCTCCACAAAAAGCCGGTCCTAGGGTTTAGGTTTGGGGGTTCCAGAGTTCGGGATGCTTTGGGGGTAGGGTTTAGGGAATTTGCCTGAGATCTTAGGGTTCGCGTCTGGGGTTTAGGGTTTAGGGGTTTAGGGTCTAGGGTCTAGGGTCCAGGGTCTAGGGTTTAGGGGTTAGGGTTTAGCGTCTGGGATTTATCTGCGACTCTATTTACCTACAGTTTAGTCGTAACTATGCTTAATAAAACTGCAGGTAAAGAGGGTGTTAGGTAGCGTCTAGGGTTCAGGGCTTCGGGCTCCTGAAGCAAAACTACAATTGCCACGTCGAGGCGCACTCATCGCGGAATTGACGACGATGATGTTGGCTTCAAGCTGCTCCTTCCCCGACGACAACCTTGAACCTTCATTACCGAGCCCATTAAATTAAACCTAAACCTTAAACCCTAAACGCTAATTAAACCCTAAACAAGTATTGGCACTTTTTGCTCTCACCCTAAGGGCCAAAGCTTCAGGGAAGGAGCGGTTGGGAAGGGGAACTCGCGCACTCTGGCCAGACCCTACAGCCTACAAAAACCCTTAAGCCCTAAACCGCAGCGTGTGGTGTCGGGCTCCTAAACCCGAAAAACCCGAAACCCTAAACCCCAAACTCTAAACCCTTAAACCCTAAACCCTAAACCCTAAACCAAAGCTTTGGGCAGGCCCTCCTCGCCCAGGTTGGAGAGAAGCCCCAACGCCTGTTGCCAGAGAGAGGCCTGCCAAAGACAAGTTGTTGCAGCCCGGATTTTAAGGCATTTGTTTGGCCATTTTACTTGGTTGCGGCTTGGGTATTAAGGCATTCAGGCTTCCAGGCCTTTGAGCTCAAGGCCTATAAAGGGTTGAAAGGTCATGGCCTTGACACTATAGACCCCACCGCCACACCCGTCTGTTCCGGCTATGTTCTACAGCTGACCCGGTTGGCGGCAGCCTTTAAAAGCATAAAAGGAGAGCTTCTGCCTTCGCTGCCCGCCCAGAAGCGCAGCCCCTTAAAATAATACGAATAAACAACTGTTCGTATAGGGGGAACATCCCAAGCTCTTCTTGGGGATACCCTGCCCGTAACCCCCCCCAAAACCCTGAGAACCTAAGGCCTCGAACACTCCACCCACCAATGTAGGGCACCCATAAGCTGTAACGGCAACAATACCAACCCTGATTCAAATTTACCCCCCCCCCCCGCTTCTTACTGGGGAATGACGAGGGCATTAGGGCCCTATGTATGCCCTTTAAGGGATTCTATAAGGTACCTCATTCCCTCATTCCCTACAAAGAGCCAGCCAGTCCCCAAATTCTAAACCCTAAGCCCTAAACCCTAAACCCTAAAGCCTAAACCCTAAACCCTTGAAACAAAACACTGAACAAACCCTTGAGACTGACTGTTGTAGGGTGTGGGCATCAGCCAGGCAGCCCCGAGAGCCCCCCAAGGATGGTCTAGGGTTTAGGGTTTTAGGGTTTAGGGTTTGGGGTTTAGGGTGTGTCAGGGGAGGGCGCGCGCTCGGGTGTGAAACACCCCGGGCCGCGCGCTCGCGTTGCCCGTCAACCCACCCCGGCCACCCAAACTATACTCTATTAGGGTTTAGGGTTTATGGAATTTACTTTCTTGTGCTCTGATGCTTGCTTTGATGTTTTTAAAGTTGTGCTGTTAGGGTTTAAGCTGGGGTTGGGGGTAGCCTCGGCCCTTTTCGGGCCTTCGGCGTGTCAGGGCCCGTAGAGGCCCTTATTTATTTGAAGGTCAGGGAAACCCTTTGTGTCTGCTTTTGGATTCCCCTTCTTTAAGGGCCTCAATTAAGCATCGATTTCACTACCAAAAAATCGCATTTTTCATTGCGGGTACGGGCATCCTGGGGTCCCCCTTCTTTTCGGGGGCCTTTTGAAGCCTTTTGAAGCATTTTGGTGGCTCTTGGGGTCTCTCGGGGCCTTGTTCGGACCTTCGGCGTGTCAGAGGTTTTGATTTGAAGGTCAGGGAACCCAATCGCTAGGGTTTAAGCTGGGGTTCGGGGTAGCCTCGGCCCTTTTCGGGCCTTCGGCAAGTTAGGGCCCGTAGAGGCCCTTATTTGCTTGAAGGCCTTCGCAGGGTTTTGCGGTGTTAGGGTTTAAGCTGGGGTTCGGGGTAGCCTCGGCCCTTTTCGGGCCTTCGGCACGTTAGGGCCCGGAGAGGCCCTTATTTACTTGAAGGCCGTCGTAGGGTTTTGCGGTGTTAGGGTTTCGGTTGGGGTTCGGGGTAGCCTCGGTCCTTTCCGGGCCTTCGGCACGTCAGGGCCCGTAGAGGTCCTTGCTGATTTGGCCATCGATTTCAGTTCTTTTAAAAGAACATTTCTCATTACGGGCAGGGGGGCGTAAAACCATCGTTTTCAATATTCAAAAATCGCATTTTTCATTGTGGGCACGGACAAATCTTATGGTCCCCCTTCTTTTAGTGGGCCTTTTGAAGCTTTTGAAGCCTTTTGGTGGCTTTTGGGAGGGGGGCTTGGGTCGGTCTGGCCGGGAAAGGCTTCCGGCGAGGGGCCCCTTGACCCGCGGCCCTTGGCCGGGGGGGCCCTTGGCCTGAGCGGCCCTTGGCCCGGAGGGTTCTTGGCCCTTGGCTGGGGGATCTTGGCCCGGGGCCCCTGGCCTTGGCCCCGGGGGCCCTTGGCCCGCTTGGCGCGGGGGGCCCTTGGTCCGGGGGGCCCTTGGCCCGAAAGGCCCTTGGCCAGGGCGCCCCTTGGGCCTCACGGCCCTTGCTCTTGGCCCAGGGGGCCCGGCCGGGGGGCCCTTGGTGTGGGGGGCCCTTGGCCCAAAAGGGCCTTAGTTTAGGGTTTAGGGTTTAGGGTTTAGGGTTTAGGGTTTAGGGTTTAGGGTTTAGGGTTTAGGGTTTAGGGTTTAGGGTTTAGGGTTTAGGGTTTAGGGTTTAGGATCAAGCCCCACATCGCGGGTTTGGGGTGTAGGGCTTAAACCCTGCTACTAGGTTCCCAGTAACCTAGGAGGAAAAAAAGGAGCTGTCTCTATGAGTCCCTTTCTTACTTAAAGATGCCGATACGGGAACCCAACCTACAAAAGTGAATACGGGTCCTCCTGAACCCTAAACCGAGACGCTAAACCTTAGACCTTTAAACTAAGGACCTGAAACCCAACCCTAAACCCTAAGCCTTAGACCGTTCATCCAGGGACGTGAAACCCCAAACCCCTAAACCCTGAACCCTGACCCCTTTAGACCTTACCAACTGACTCGGCCAACCCCAAACCCTAAACCCGAACCCTGAACCCTAAACCCTAAACCCCAAACCCTAAACCCAAAGCCTAAGCCCTAAACCTTAAACCCTAAACCTAAACCTTTAAACCCTAAATCCTCAACCCTAAACCCGACCAACTGAGCCGGCCTGAAGGCAGTGGGCCTTGGCTACCAGCCGAAGCGCGTCGACCACCTTAGCTCCCAGGAGGCTTAGGGAGCAAAGGTTTGTAGGGTTCAGGGTTTAGGGTTTAGGGTTTAGGGTTTAGGGTTTTGGGTTTTGGGTTTGAGGTTTAGGGTTTAGGGTTTAGGGTTTAGGGTTTAGGGTTTAGGGTTTAGGGTTTAGGGTTTAGGGTTTAGGGTTTAGGGTTTAGGGTTTAGGGTTTAGGGTTTAGGGTTTAGGGTTTAGGGTTTAGGGTAAAGCCAAAGCCTAAACCTTAGTGCACAAAGACCCGCTCCAGGCCTAGCGCATCAGAGTGTACATGGCACGCAACTCAGCTAATAGGGATTGGGGCTTCTTCTTATTATTGACGGACGGTAGGACAGCATTGGAGGGCTTGTAGGAGGGCTTCTTGGGAGTACATTAGCCTGCAAATCGGGAAACCTAGAACTCATAAAGTCCACAAGGTCATGGACTGAGGGACGCCCAATTCAAAGCCTACACCTGACCCCACTAAACCCTTTCAGTCACAGTACCCATTCGAGAACACAGCAATGACAAGACCCTAAACCCCGAAACCCCTAAAACCTCCCTCAGCCCATGCCCACCGCGTCCGCATCGTCCGCGGCATTGGCCGCCACCAGAGCCTGCTCGGCGGCCTCACACGAAGCCTATTTGGGGGCCTGGGAGTTGCGACCCTAAGCCCTGAAACCCCAAGGCTCCCCGAACCCGAAACCCTAAACCCTAAACCCTAAACCCGAAACCCTATAAACCCTATAAACCCTATAAACCCTATAAACCCTAAAAACCCTAAACCCTAAACCCTAGACCCCACAGATCCTGAACTTCGGGTGTAGGGCCAAGGCTTGCCTACCCATGTAAAGCACACCTCACAAGGGGCCTAAGGGGTTTAGGGCTGAGGGCTTAGGGTTTAGGGTTTAGGGTTTAGGGCTTCGGGTTTAGGGCCTATCTTCTAGGATTGAAGAAAAATGCTTCCGAGCTCAACCTTCAACCCGAACTGCTGACGTCCCTACGAGTGTGGCTCAAAATCGAAGCCGGATGGCTGTTGAACGTGCGAATACCCGAATCTGAACGTGCGAATACCCAAATTCCCTGGTAGACCCTGTAGCACCAAGCCCTTACCCTAAACCCGAACTAAACCATAAACCCTCAACCCTAATCCCTTCTTATAGTGCAACATAGGGCTCGAGCCTCGCTACCCTTCGCTTGGCATTCCCTGCGTCCGGAGTCTACACCTCTAACCCAAACCCTAAACCCTAAACCCTAAGCCCCAAACCCTAAGCCCCAAAACCATAAGCCCTAACCCCAAAGCCCTAAGCCCTAAACCCTACACCCTGAACCCTAAACCCTGCACCGACAAGAAGGCACGCCTGCAGCGCAGACAGACCCGGCGCCGCTGCCTCAGAAGCGAAGAGTCGTCGGGTTTTGGGGGGGGTTTAGGGTTTAGGGTTTGGGGTTTAGGGTTCAGGGGTTGGGGTTTAGGGTTTGGCGTTTGGGGTTTAGGGTTTAGGGTTTAGGGTTTAGGGTTTACGGTTTAGGGTTTAGGGTTTAGGGTGTAGGGTTTAGGGTGTAGGGTTTAGGGTTTAGGGTATAGGGTTTAGGGTTTCGGGTTTGGGGCTTAGGGTGTAGGGTTTTGGGGTATAGGGTTTAGTGTTTAGGGTTTTGCGGTTTGGGGTGTCGGGTTTTAGGGTTTTCAAGTTGAGGTTTGCGGATTTAGGGGTTTAAGGCTTTAGGGTTTAGAGTGCCGGGTTTTTGGTGTCAGGGTTTAGAGTTTTAGGGCTTGAGGGTTTATAAGGTCTAGGGTTTAAGGGTTTTAGGGTCCAAGGTTTGGGGATTTAGATTGTGAGGTGTGTAGTCAGAAGTAGTCTGTGTGGGGTTTTAGGAACCCTCCGCGCGAAACCCTAAACTCTGTCGCAGGATATAAGAAAGGTTTAGGGTTTAGGGTTTAGGGTTTAGGGTTTAGGGTTTAGGGTTTAGTGTTTAGGGTTTAGGGTTAGGGGCAACCCTGCTGACACCTCTAGGAGCTTCTCCTCAGCGCTGGCGATGGAGGCAAAAGCGGCCTTCGGAGATGCAGTTCTTGGCTTGGTCGGATTGGGGTTTGGGGTTTGGGGTTTGGGGTTTGGGGTTTAGGGTTTAGGGTTTAGGGTTTAGGGTTTAGGGTTTAGGGTTTAGGGTTTAGGGCTTAGGGTTTAGGGTTTAGGGTTTAGGGTCTAGGGTTTAGGGTTTGGGGTTTCGGTTTTAGGGTTTTGGGTTTTGGGTTTTGGGTAGTTCCCCAAATTTGGGTCCGTCCGTTTTGGAGGTCCTTATTGTAAGGGTTCCGTACAATAAAGGGAACCCTGAAAAAGGACGCTAATTTAGAGAGGTGCCCAGCTAGGGTCTGGCGTTTCGGCCTTATAGGGTTTAGGGTTCCGGATAGATGGTCGAGGACGGCTTAGGGACGAAAGTCGATGTCAGGTCTTGGTTTC